GGAAAAGCCGCTGGAAGCAGCTTGCGTGGGCCCGCAAGTTGGGTGGGAAACTCAGGGCATCGCCAGCGCCGGGGAACAGTGTGAGCCAGGCGGGTGGGGTCTCAGATCCGGCGCCCGCCTGCTGGCTGTGCAGGGGCAGGGCTCAGCGAGGGAACAGTGCCAGCACTTCTGCCTGGGAGACAGCGGCCCCCCAGCTCAGTCAGGCGCCGACCCGATGCCGGGCAGTTCGGTCCCTCCCCGTCTGTCCCGGTGCCTTTCAAGCTGCTGCCCTGGCATCGGAGCTCAGAGGGAGTGAGTCCAGTCGGCCTGCGCGGGCCCTTTAAGGGGCGCTGCCTGGGACTCGGGAAGCCTCTGACTCTCTCAGGCACAATCGCCACTGGCTTTTACAGCCAGAAGTTACGGGACTTCTCTGCACTGGAATCCTGGGCTGCGGGGCCTGTCGCAGGGCCGGGACCCTCCGCTCCTCAGGGTGGACCTCCGCAGCCGAGGCTCCGCTTCCAAACGTTGGCCACCACGGCGGGCCTGGGGCCCACGCCGTCCGCATCTCTGCGCCTCCTACCGGTTTCGGTGTGGCTTCTCCTCTGGTTCTGTCGCGGTAGGACCTCCACTCAGTCAGGTTCCAGGCCATTCTGCATGACGGCTGTTCTGCAGTTTAGCCATCATGTGGATGTGGCTGTGGGAGGGCGTGGGACCTGTGTCTGTCTACGCCGCCATCCTGACCGGAAGCTCTGGTCGTGAGGCCACTTAAAAACATCACAGGAAACACTTAGAGACGCGAGGCCATAAAGCACGGCCAAGTCCCCAGAAGCGCCTGTGGCCTCGCGGGTTCAGTCCCGCGCCACGAAGCCGGGGCGCTCCCGACGTGCTCGGCAGGCGGCCTCCGCCGGGCTCCCGCCCCACCGTCCTCCCTTCCCGGGTCCTCCCGCCGGTCTGGTAACGCTCGGGCCGGTGTGTAAAACCCAAAAAAGGCAAAAATGTTTCTCAACCGGAGCACAGCTGCGGTCTTTGTAAGTCCTTGAAATAGCACGTGACAAATTACAAAGCGTCTCACTATAATTGCCTCACTATTTTTAAATGTCTTAGCGCAAACCACATTAACTGAGGGAGATGAGTTTGGAGGCTTATGACCCTAAAATGTAACACTTTGTCCAGAGGGTTGATTGATTCGTTCTCAATTTTCATCAGATGTCAAGTGCTTCCTCCTCTTATTCCACCAAGTAAATGGAGACCAGATGGGGAGACATTTTCTATACCTTCAAACTATACTTCTTAAAAGGTTTTAAGGCCTATTTGGAGAAAGCTCATTAAATTAACTTGACAAGATAGTTTCTCCATAAACCCGGAACTTAAAAACTAGGTCAAACCCGTGCACAAGCCCATCGACGCCCAGCTCTGTCCGGGGCGCCCGCGGCCAGACACAGCGAACGCCAGCCAAGCACGGGCCAGGGCCCAGGGAGGGCGCCCTAGGACGAGACAGGTGGACACCGTCCGGTGCAGGGCTCGAGGGGGCCTCCGGGAAACCAGGACTGAAAGCGTGAGTTAGGCTCCAGACAGCCTAGGAGAGCTCAGGCCAAACTGGGAAAGCACGGCCACTCTGTTGAGATCAGCAGGCAAGGCCAGGGTGGGCCCACGGCAGGAGCCCACGGCCGGAGCCCGGGAGGGCGCCCGCGGCTGGCGAAGGCCAGCAGTCCCCCGGCAGCGGGAGAACTCTGGTACCCGCACATCTTGCTGAAGGCTTGGTGGTTCTCGCCCACCGGTGTGTGCGCTCGGTGTGCGGGGTGACGGGAATTGTTACAGAGAGGAAACCAGAGGCCTGCAGAGAGATGGGGCCGTTGATTAAGCCCAGCGCACAGATGCCAGGATCGCTCAGGGCTGCTGAGTGCAGCCGCACCCGTGTCTCCAAAAAGCTCTTTTGGCAATCCCAGAGCCTAGGAGTGATGATTCCAGTTTGATTGTCGGTCTTGAAACAGATGTCTAAGGAAGTCCTGATTGCCCAGCCCTTTTATAAAATGTAATAAGAATCCTTTTCCAATTCTCTGTGAGGCAGGCAGCCAACTCCTAATGAGTCTGATCAGCAAATGGGCTTTGGAAACCGCACCTTCCATCGGCACCCTCTGCACAAACTCCTCAGAGCTGGCAGGGGGACGCGGGCTGCCCACCGCCACTCTGCTCCCGAACCCGCTGGCCACCATGTTCTGTGGCCTCTGCATCTCCTTTAACCGCCAGGAGGAATCCGCGGCCCTGAAGACGCAGCTTCCCAGCCCTTCCCCGGCTGCATGCGCGTGCGCCCCTCCACGCTTCCCCTTCCCTCGGTTTTGTTCTGACGTGCAGAGCGTGGTGGGCACCCTTTCTGCCTCTGCCTGGCCCGCTGCCTTTCCCTAGCGTGGGCCCCACACCCCCAGACGCCGGGTAAGACACACCGACCGGCGCGGGTGCGCGCGGGTCCATCCGTGTTCCCCGCACCCGCGGCCCTCCGTCCGGCCTGACGCCCAGGCTGCGCCCCACACCCGTGGCTCCACCCACGGGACACATGGTTTCCAGACAATGGGCTGTGACCCCGGAACAGCTGACCAGTTCAGAACACAGAGCCGAAACAGAAGATGGGACGAAAGCGCAGCCAGCGCGTGCACTGCCCTGCGGACCGCGCGCGCGCGCCGCGCGTACCCGGCACAGGTGGGCGGGATGCTGCGCGGCCCTCAGGGAAGGTCTGCAGCGCCGCCCCGCGGGCACGCCCCCAGCTGCGGGCCCTTCTGCTCGGACTCCCTTCCTCGTGCGGCTGGGGCTCTGGCCACATGTCCAGCTGCCTCCGTGGGCCTCGGCCTCTCCCCAGGGCCCACCGGCTGATCCCCCCGTAGCCGCGGGACTGGCTTCTCCCTGGACTGACCCCTGGCCTCAGCAACAAAACAAAACAGAGCAAAACAAATGACACCTCGCGATTATCCATGCCGCCTTCCCCAGTCCGGGAACTGGGGCTGCACGCCGACCGTCCGCCCAGCACTGACCGTGGGACGGGGGGACCGCTTCCGTGCGAGCCACCTCTCCTCTCGACCCGGAACGCTGCCAGCAAAGCCACTCTGGAAATGCCTCCGACATCCTTACCAGACTCGCCTCCCTAGCCCGGGGCGCCGCGCCCCTGCTGTGCCGCGCCCGGTGCCCGACACCTGTGCCGGGTGACTCCAGCTTGTCCCGCAGGCCCCGCCTGAGAACGGGCCCTCACCGCCATCCACACCGCCCGCTCCTGCTGCTTCTCACAGAGCCCGCGGGGACCCGAGGGCTCCCACCCAGGACGAGGACGCGGGCACCCAGCTCCCCCGCCCAGCCACCCACAGGACAATTAATTCATTATCTTCCTCCACAGAAAACCTTGTTTTCCGTATCTTCTTGTGGACTGTTCATTTGACTTTTCTCAGCCCAGCTGAGATATCGGAGCAAAACGGATCCCCGTCTGCAGGGCAGGGCACAGTCATTTGAGAAGAGCGTGCGGGAGAGGCTGAGGCCCAGCGGTTTCTTGGGAGTCAGCTGCTCGGCTGCCTCCCCTCCAGGGAGGGTGGCTTTGGGGGGCCGGGGGGGGCGCAGCTGTAGAGCTGCAGGACAGCTGCGCCAGGCTCTGAAGGGCAGGTCAGGCCAGGGCGCCAGTGCCACACGGCCCAGGGCTCCGCCAGCACCTCTGGTGCCTGCCCGGGGGCGGGGCGGGGGGGCAGCCTGCCGTCCCCTCCCAAGTCACACGGGCTCCTCCCCACGCCTCCGCTGGGGCGCTCCCGACTGCAGGCCGGCTCTGACCTGGAGTCCCCACGGCTCCTGCTCCCGAGGCCTCCCTCTGCTGTGGCAATCGAAGGAATCTCTCTCCAGGGGAGATTCCAGAAAACGCAGGGACAGGCAGGCTGACTCCCGCGTCCGCACTCCTCGGCCGATCAGAAGACCCCGCGCCTTTGGAGCTGGCTGTGAAGCGTCCGCCCCGCGACCACCGCCGTTCCCAGGCACCTCCACAGGCGCGACGTTTGTTAAAAAAAACCAATAAACCGACGTCCATCCCAAGGCCAGAAGGGAGGCGCAGGGACACAGGATGCCTCGGCGTCTAAACAACTGTGCTGGGCTGAGCGGCCGGGGCCAGGTCACGCTCCCCACGCGCCAGGTCACACAGGGCCGACGCGAACCCTGGAGAGAGGTGGCGTGGCCAAAGGACTTGCAGGGAGTGGGGTACAGCGCCTCCGACGCAGAGCGCCCCCCCCTGCGGGGCCCCCTGAGGGCAAACACCCAAATCCTTGGCTCCTCAGGGCACTGCCTCCGGTTTTCTAGGTGGCAGAAATGCATGTTTCTCATTCGGTTTCAGCCGCACAATTAAAAGACAAACAAGAGGAAAACTCTGCTTCACCCAGAGCCCCTCCAAAGAGAAACGGAGTTCTCCTCGCGCCAGTTCGACGGGCCGCCCCGGGGGAAGCCGCGTTCTGCTCCATCCGTGCTGTGTGCCCCCGACCACGTGTCACTCACAGGCACAGCCTGCCACCCTCTCTCCCCCTCCACGTGCGGCTGGGGCACCGGTCCACCAAGATGGCAGCCCTCTTCCTACCTCACACTTCAGCTCCGAATGTCCACACAAACTTTCCTGTCTTGTCCCCAACGGGTATCCGACTCATTTAAAGACTGTCCAGGGGATACGTACGTGCACGGCACCAGCGCTCAGATGGGCGCAGCTGGGTCGGCACTGACCAGCAAAGCGACCCTCTCGCGACCTCAGACAACTCCGCGGGCGGCAGGGCAAGGCTGGCACTCGGGGATCCCATCTCACCGCTGGGTACAGCGAGGTGGGCACGCAGCTTAGCCGGCCTGCCGGGGCGCCAGGGCAGCGCTGGACAGAGAGCCTGGTGTCAGCGGGACTCTGCGCCCGGTCCCTTTGCACTGGGCTCTTCGGACTCGGTGGCTAAAAGCAGGACCCTCCGGAGCGCCGCGGGGCGCACAGCAGCTGCTTGTCTTATTCAGGGGAGCTGGGATAGGGCACTCACCCACTTGATGCGCCTGGGTGCCGGCCTCCGGAAAGCTTTCGGCGACGCCCAAACGCCCACCCCTGCGTCTGAGACCCGTAGGCACCCAGAGAGCCCGGGAGCAGGAGCGGGACGCCCGGAGACGTGGGGCGGCGGGCCGGCACCCCGCCTGCGCGGCCCGCGGGCCGAGATGCTGCGCCGCCACGCGCACCTGCTGGAACCACTCGCCCCGCGCTCTCGGGACGCCCAGCCCGCGGAGCCTTGGCCGCCCGTTCCCCGCGCTCCAACCCGGGCCCTGCAAACCGCGTCACCTGTGCCGCGGCCGGAGCCGCTCGGGTGCGCGCGGCGGCTGCGCGCGGCCGGTCCCGGGCGCCTGGTGCTCCGGGCGGGCGGAGGGCTGGCGCCGGGCAGAGCGGCCGGAGATGCTCAGCGGGCGGGCGCCGTCCCGAGTGCAGCTGCCGCCGCCGCCCGCCGGGACTGCGGGCTCGGGTTACCGCAGCGCCGCTCCTTAAAGGGGCCGCGGCGAGCGCCGCGCTGCGCTCTGGCGCCCGGAGACTCCGACCGCGGCCAGAGTGGGCGGGGCCGACCTTCGCGGGCTGGAACCCCGGTCGGCCGGGGCTCAGCAGTGGAAGCGCCGAGGCGGGCCATCCCTGTCACCTGGCCAGGGACGGGCGGGCGGCGCCTGGCTGTCCCAAGCGGGAAGCCGAGCCCGCCAGCGGGGACGGCCGAGCCCGCTTCCGCAGCGGGCAGTACCTGGGCTCGCCACGTCACCAAAATCCCGTTCAGGCTGTGAGTTTACGTTCTGCCTTAAACGCCCAAATTCGACCCAAACGAAGCGCGAGATCTCATCCTCGGAAAGCAGAGGGCAGCTCGGTGACTGACTCTCCGGCCACGGCCGACGGGGGTCCCCGGCCAGGGGCTGCAGGGCCGGGCGCGGGTGCCAGGGCTCAGCCGCTCCTCCTGGAAAACAGCCGCTGAGCGCACTCCGCCCCCGCCGAGCCTCTGGGCTGTCGAGGGAAGGCTGCCGCGTTTCCAAGCTGCGCCGTGTGGAAAGTTTGCCTTAAAGCAGCTCTCCTGACCTGCTAAAGACACGCACCCTCAAAAACTTCCCAGTACTCCCATCAACAGAGGGAGTTGCTCTGAATGAAACAAAACAAGGAAGAGGTGCGTTTAGGCGCTGATAAATCGCAAAACCAATGACAAACCTTTCTTTGAAAGAGGTAGGTTCTAAAGTGATTACTTAGTAAACACCGCCATTGGTAACGCCGTACAGTTATGTTGGCTCACACACACATACACGCACACAAACACACAAGTCAGCTCACGGGCCCCCACCGGGCTCCGTTTCTTCATCTGTAAATTGGGGGTGCTGATGTGCAGTTACCTGCAAAGTCCCTGTCTCAGCAAATGGGTCTCCGAGCGGCGTCAGACACACAACCCCCCTCAAGGACAGAAAGCGGCCCAGGCCCTCGAGGGCACGCCTCCTTGCTCCGCACAGGGCCCGGCAGGGCCACAGGCTGTCCCACTGGAGTGGCGTGGCAATATGCGGCCCGGCCCGTGGCAGCTCTGGGTCGCCGCCCCCCCCACCCGCCCCCCCGGCCCCTGCATTCATGCAGCCGCTCGCCAGCTGCATTGGCAGGGCGGCCGGCCAGGTCGCCGTGCACAGGCGGCCTCGGGACTCTGCCTCAAGGCTGCCTCCCCCGGACGTACCTGTGCCTATCTCCAGGGCTGACCTCTGCTCTGCTTCGTCCTGCTTGCGCCATCGTTACCTTTGATTTACATGTTTCGAACACCCACGGCCGTGGCCAAGGCTGAGGAAACGCCGAGAAATCCGCCGCGGTGCACCTTGCCCTCCACGCCTTCGGGCCCAGCTCTAGGGAGGCATTGCCCAGTCCTCAGAGCACCCAGAGCGCGGCAGCGAGTGCGCCGGCGCCCAGGGCCAGGCCTCGGAGGTAGGAATGGATTTACATGTTTCGAACACCCACGGCCGTGGCCAAGGCTGAGGAAACGCCGAGAAATCCGCCGCGGTGCACCTTGCCCTCCACGCCTTCGGGCCCAGCTCTAGGGAGGCATTGCCCAGTCCTCAGAGCACCCAGAGCGCGGCAGCGAGTGCGCCGGCGCCCGGGGCCAGGCCTCGGAGGTAGGAATGGGGTCCAGGGAACACTAGCTGAACTTTGAAAACTTTAAATTAATCAGAAATCAGTGACCTTAGGAGGCAGGCTAACATCAGCTGCATACTTTTCCTCAATATTTTAATGCAGCTTATTTTCTTTAAAACATCCGTTTCATTATTCACATTTTAAATCTTCAATTATTCTTCAAGTTCTTTTTACTGATTCTCCCTCCCCAAGGACAGTTCCCCAGAGGCTGTATTCACCGTCTAAGATTTTCTGGGTTTCAAATCGGAGGAATCAAAGTGAATTTCATTTTTATACTTTTTGTGCATGAAAACAGTTCAAAGGAATAGGTCACAGAAAAATACGATTGCTCATCCATACTTAAACAGAGATAAAAGTGCAAAAATTCTTTTGAGGCAAATTCTGATAAATTTGTTCCCACAAATTCCTACACTTCTAAACAGAGCCAGTTGTTTGGAAAACTGAGATTAAATGCTGGTCCTTTGCCAGACAACAAGATAATTAAAGCAGAAGTAGCCTGGACAACGGCCTCAGCTGCCCACCGGTCCCCATTAGTGAACACAGAATCAAAATGACACCAAACATTGTGATGAGAAAGGTTGATTTAGTAAAAACTGGATGACCCCAGCCGCTATTTTTAAAATAATTTTTGAAAGGTTTTTTGAGTACTTAAAAGTACTATCATTTGTTTTTCAGAAATCTCTTCAAGACATTAACAGTGGTTATTTCTGGGCAGGTGAGATTCTGTCTTTTGTGGATTTTGTTTTCTTTTTTAAGATTTTATTCACTTATTTTCAGAGCGAGGGGAAGGGAGGGAGAGAGGGAGAGAAACATCCATGTGTGGTCGCCTCTTGCGTGCCCCCTACTGGGGACCTGGACAGAAACCCAGGCCTGCGCCCTGACTGGGAATCGAACCGGTGACCCTTTTCTTTGTAATCTGTCGCTCAGTCCACTGAGCCGCACCAGCCAGGGCTGCCTTTTGTGTTCTTTTTTGCTTATCTTATTTTATGTAATTTTTTTCCCCTGCCTGTAATTCTGTAGTAATATAATGTATTATAAATAGCGTGAGAGTAACATCAATTATTATAAATGCATGTAACCTATCATTGATATGGATTTTTAAAACTTAGGTAATTTTTAATGAGAGTCATACATACAAGTGAAAATTCAAATGGGCACATGAACTATCCTAAAAGTGACTACAAAGAAAAAACAGGAGTAACCTTTCTCATTAATTTTTCATACACAAATATATCCTTCCCCTTGTATGTCCCAGTCAAATCAGCCCCCTCAGGTCCTCGCGACCGCTCCCCTGCACCCGTGTCGCTACAACCGGCCCGGCGGGCCAGGCGCGCGCAGCACGGCAGGCGCCGGCGCCGCTCTCAGGCCTCCCACGTAAGGCCTGCATTCTTCGCGGTTGAGTGAAAACAAAACATCTTTGCCGTCCCATAAGGGACAGTTTTGAAAAATTGCCCATTGCCATCTCTTTTCGAAATACTTCTGTTACATTTTGAAATATACTAAGAAATGTTTTTTTTTAATTTTAAAAAGAAGACAATCTAGTTTTAATTTTTAAAAAATCCTCTGGTAGGGGTTTATTTCCCGCTAGGAAAGGCATGGTTCTCCTCTAAGATTTTAAAATTCTTCTTGTAGAAAGTACTGGATAAAAAATAATGTTGGAAAGATTGTTACAATTAAATGTCTTCAAACAAAGATATTCTGAGCATCTCAAAATGCTAATGTTTAATAGTCAAAAAAACTAGGGAGAAATGGATTGTGGGGTAAGGAAAACTTTATTAATGCTCTATATGCATAACATTAAAAACTATCATATCAACAATGAAAACACCATCAGGATAAGGAAATTTCACTTAATCTATGAAGTCTTCCCCCAATCAAATACAAATCCAGAATTTCACACACACACACACACACACACAATATATATATATATATTTATACACCAAGTTGAAATAAAACCTCAGAATTTGTGAGCATGGCAATGATTTGTTCTGATGGCGACAGGAAGTTCGCTTGCCCTCTGACCTCTCAGCAACACAGCCCTACCGCGGCCCCCCGGCCCCGCGAGGCCCCCCGGCCCCCGAGACAACTGAAGCAGAAATATTCTGGATGAGACTCTCTCCCACCAGGCCCCGCCTCCCACGAGTCTTCTATGTCCAGTCCTGTCCCCGCGCCTTCTAACTGACCTGTCCTGCCATCGTTGGTGAGAAAACAGGGAACACTTTCTGAATTTAGAAAGGAATGAAATCACGCGCCTATTTATCCATCGTCAGGAGGAGCGGCTACACACGGTCCCTCGGAGGCGCAGCCGAGAGTCCCGCAGCCAAGAGTCCCGCAGCCAGGAGGAGGAGCCGCATCCGCGACCGCCGCTGCTCCGGGGCAAGGCTTCTGTCGCGCACACTCCTACCACCTGCACTGAGCCCTGCGAGACCGGCGCTTGCCTGCGCTCTCCGCACGCGTTGCCCACCCTCCCTGGCTTGTCGGGGAGCCCATGTAGGGGTTCGAGGGGTCATGGTCTGCAGACTCTTAACCAATATCCTACTTTCTAGGGCGGAAAAGGGTATAGCAATGGTTTCCCCTTGGTTTTCACCCTAAGCTATTGCCTAAACCCAGCGAGGAAAAGCCCTGCCGTCCCTGCCCCTCTGAGCTCCGACAGGGCGGCGCCGGTCCGGCCGGGCTGCGCCGGCGTCGGGCACGCAGGGCCCTAATAGCAGAGAGAGGGAAAGGGGTCCCCCAGGTCTCAGCGGAGCGGCAGAGCCAGTTCCATTCCCTTCGTCTCAATCCGGGTTATTAATTCTTTCGACGAAGAATGCAAATTGTAAGAGCGTTGCGGAACTTCTAAAACAATCGCATGAATTCGGATTCAAAGCCAGACAAGAAATTACCGGAAAATAAGTAACTGTGACCAACAGCTCCAAACAGCAACGGTCAGACCACACACATGTCACGCTGACTCAGGAGGGCAACAAACCGCCACGGCCGCGCCCGCCCTCTGCACGGCCCCTGTCTTCTTCGGCTTCCGTTACCCACAGTCACCACAGGTCCAAAATGATGAAAAGAAAAACTCCAGAAATACACAGTCCACACGTCATCAATCACACGTCGCCCGGGCCAGCCTGACGGAACCGTGCGACGGCCT